CATCGAATCAAAGGTCTCGCTTACCCGGAATCTTTTGGGAATTTAGGGAGGAAACATAACCTGAGAGAACAAAATGTGCCCAAAATTCAATGTTCTTGACAATAAAGCCTTATTTCACAATTATTATTCATTTGCATTTACAAATTTAGTTGTGAACAACATGCAAATAGTCTACACAACCAAACATCCACTATTCGAACTGGTCCAAAAAGTCGGAATTGGGATATAGTATGGATATAGTACGATTTAATCTAGCTGTCCTTTGACGGAATGAGAATCCCTGGGGTTTAAAAATAAGAAATTAATGGAGGCAGACTTCCCAGATGTCAAAATACTTAGGCACAGAAGCCCGACGTATTTAAGATCTGAAAAAGCCAGCGGAAAACCAAAAGTATTATCTCTGTGGGAGTATAATGCTACTACTTTTAAAGTAGTTTGCATGGTTTAGCATAACCCTGACAGCTTAAACATGAAAGTGGTGGAAACCCAAGATAAATGCTCAAATCAAGAGGAATCAATGTTTTAGTTCCCTAAACAAAAATATAACTTTTTTTTCCAAATCTGCAAACAAAACATGACCTTAACAAATTATTATTATTATTATTATTATACGAATTCTACTAATAAGAACAAGATACTGAGATATACTGAGAACAATATATATGAGCTACTGGATTCATGAATATTAATCAGGTTGTGTGCGTTCGCTCGAACTGATTCGCTGAAATCAAAACAGGGACGATAATAGGTGAGCACCAGCCAATGAGATTGCCGTTTGCGCATTAGTTCCGCCTACTACAGGAAAACCCGGCAGTTCTTAAAAGCTGAAAAATTCCAAAGAAACTCCTTATTTTTACAGGAAAATACAACAAAGAATATCATTTACATGTAGCGCGTCAATTCTGCATGTTATGTAAGACACTCTCTCTCTCTCACTTTGTGCGTGTGAGAGAAAGCGACGGCGAGTTGTGTGCCTTCACAGTAGAGTTTACGTTACGCCAAATACACAAACACAGGTGCACTGCGCATCCATTCAAATTAACTGAAAAATATCAGATCGCTTGACGGAGAGTGAAACTCTGAAGCGCTCGGTCAGAGAGTGTTCGGCGAGTGAAAATATATCTATGCTAAACTTATACTCAGCCTCCAACTCACACACTGGCGAGTAAAATCTGAGAATTTATTAGCCATTGGCTAATATTAGACATCATTTAGTCGCCCAGAGTAAGATTTAGTCGCATATGCGAGCGATTTACTCGCAATGTAGAGGGTTGCTTAATTTGGCGGCCATCTAATAAATTTTTAATTTAGTTCATTTAAAGTGCAATGCATCCTAACAGCTGTTGTGTGTTTCAGCGAATCGTTCAATATTTTACATAAAATGTTAAGTAAAATGCATGATACGGTAGAAAACTCTGGGTTTTAACATTTATTTCATATTCTATGCAGTATATTTTCCCCCGTACTGTAAACACATGCAGCTTCTCAACAAGAAAAAGATCCATACATAATTCAGATGACAGTTTTTTTTATCAATCTAAAATGCTGTTTATTTTCAGTGGTGGTCAAAAAGAATGCAACTCGAATCAATGCACCTTCTCGCAGCCTACATGCCAATTAAATCGGCTGGAAACTGTCGTCAAATAGCTCCAGACGCTTCTTTAACAACTTCTTCACTTGGGGGTGGATGTTCAAGAGCTGCTAGAAGCGGTTTATGGCCAAGATAGAAAAAATAAAGGTAAATTCACTCTCGATGTGCACCAAAAAGGTTCTCAAACCACCAAAACCAAAATGCATGATTATGAACCATGCATCGTATTTTTGAGAAGAACTACAAGAACTTCTAAAAGCGCTACGATATCATCTAGATAAGAAGGTAGCCAAACTGGAGACTCTGGCGAGTGATAAATGCCAAAGGAATATCCAAAATAGCCCTATATTTGAGCGAGATGTTGCAAGAATCATAATTGGTCATAAGATTGTTGCTGATCTTTGATGAAACGAGAGGAAAGGCAAATGCATAGGGGAGCTTTCCAAGAGAGCGAGGGGGAGGTAGATGATGACTAGAGATAAAAATAAAAAGTGAAATTTTTCCTGATGGTAATGGTTCTCACAGCAAGCAGCTTTGACCTTCAGTTTTGTCTGAATTTGTGACGCTCTCGTGCATGACACCAAATGTGTGGTGATGACAAATTCACACAGAAAGAGTAGGAAAAGCCAGGAAAGCCAAGATTTGGTTGGGCTTTGTCGCGTCCATGTATGTATTAGCTGTTTGCAGGCAGATAAAAATAAACAGCAGACGAATAAATTTGTCTGATTAAAACAGCGACACAATGATTTATTTAACCTAAGCTCCACACACACATGATCAAACTATATTTTATGTATTTAGACGCGCCAAGGCTAGATATTAAAGACCACTTCAAGAGTTAAACTCAAATTACAGATCACCTAATACATCAAATCCTATTCACGGGTCTCATTCAACAGTCTTTCGCCAAACCTTGAGCCACCGATAAATGGAAATAATTTAATTGAATATATACTCTTACTTCTAGTGAGTGAAAATAAATGGCCAAGCTGTTCACGAGAGAGAAACGCATACCATAAAATTAATATGAATAAAATCAGTTGATGAATGTTGGTACTGTCTGTCAATTATTAATTTTACATTTATGTATTGCTAATATTAACATTACATGCTGCTCTCGTATCCGTGCAAGGCTATCTACGAGTTATCCACAGATCAACAAGCAAGCAAAGCTAGCTGTAGCAAACATAATAGTCCATGTAACATTACAGAGGCAGACTACAAACAGAAACAGACAACAAAAAAGGAAATGATGACAAAATATGATACCATTGACAGCTCAAATTCAGCATCAAACTGACCGGTTTGCAGACGGGAAAAACATCTTCTTTGCAACTTCTAGCAATGCTGGCTTTCAAGGAGAGTTTGCTAACAACAGTTTAGAATTTGGAACTTTGACCCTTGAAAGTTTGAGGAAATGATTTATGATGCTCCCTAAAGCGTTATCAGCGGAGCCAGAATGTAAACTCTTGTCATGAAGGTGTGAATCAACTTTTACATACTTCTAGATTTCAGACGTACGGAGGGAGATTAATGACTTTGGTTGTTTTTTTACGTCCCAAAACATGCTAAGCTCTCATTATGGATTCACTGGTGACTTTCAGTAGACTAAGCCCAAATGATTTAGTCTACATTTCCTCGAAGCATGCCTAGAATTAATCTCTTGTGATGGACAGAATATCGGCATGGCGTAAGATACAAGCAACAAATCGTTAAGCCTTCAACGCAGCAGTTAGCCTACATTTAAAGCAGAGTTCCCACACATTTAACCATTCCTCCGTGGCACTTCCAGTCATTTGTGATTAGGATAAAGATGTTAAAATAATTTGTACTCTCAAATAAATATTTTTATTCAATTAACTACATCAGGTAATAATCAAGTCCTCTACTAAAAACTCACAGTCTTTAAATTTCACTAATATTATCACCGTGGGAATCTTGTTAAAGGCTCACCGTCAAATATCTTTCCTATTTAAGCACAAAATAGCAATGAATCCACACATCTTTACATCAGTGCCTTCATACTTCCTGAAACGGGCCCTTTTGGTACAAATTAGGCGCTTTTCCTCATAGTACGAGGAAAGCTACGCCGTTTTCACTGACATATACGCCATATCTGATAACAAAATACATCCTAGTCTTTTTAAATATATCAGTTTATCATATCTGATACGATGTAGGACATGTTAAACAAACGGGAGAAAGGCTTTACCGTCTATAGGGTCCCACATATGTTCATATTCAATATCTGACATTAATGCAGCACTCAGTATCGTGATATTATCTACACTGTTGTGGTTGATAGAAAGAGTGACGAGCATTTACTGAAAAGCTGCAGTTAACAGATGCCAAAAGGGTTTTCTGTCGGACATTAAAAGGGAGATTAACACAAATCTAGGGTTGAAAACTAGGAAACCTCGACTCAATAATCTCCCAATAACATCAGATACGGCGATTTAAAGGGATTAAACAAAGCTAATGAAACACTTACAGGGGGAGGGGCGGGAAACCAACCGTTTCTGTCATATTTCTTGGAAATGAGAACCAAAAAATGAGTACATAACAAATAGAAACGGGACTCTAGGCTTCCCCAAAACCAAAATATTGTTGATATCTGCACACATTTTGGCTTACACTGGCACGTCTCGTTCAGGAACTGCCTTGCTGCTTCAAAGCAAGCAATTGAGGAAAGAAGAAAGAAACAATCAAAACAGACTCAAATATCAGCGCATATGTTCTGCAGAAGCCTGATTAAGATCAAGACGTTATGTCGACACGTTCAGTGTAAGACGAATCTGGCCTCGACGCGGCGGCGATAACAGCTCAGCAGTATGCGCCGTGTCGTTTTCTTTGTCATCCCCACCTTCCCCTAAAATACAAAATTATTAAATCTGACATTTCCCCATTGCAGCAATGCGCGCGCGGTGTGCGGGGGCGCGCACAGCCCTCCCCTCAAATAATACAGTAGCCTACAATAAAGCAGGGAGCGCGCACACGGGCAAAACGGACGCCGCTGATTGGTCAGCGCACAGTTCCCTCTGTACACGTAACACGCCCTGCTTACAATAAATAAACATCGCCTACATTTCCTCCAAAAAAAATACAAATAATAATAATAACTTAAAGAATGGCGCTGGGCCAAAACAACAGCTGTTATGCAGTCAAATAAAAACGCAAATGTACATTATTTCTCAACGGCCGCGCAACTAAACTCATAACTGCAATTTTTTTTTTTTGATGAGGTCCAGCGGCTATATGAAAAATATCGTTGCGAGACAAAAAAAGAAAAATCGGCTTCGCTCGCCACTCAAGGCAGTAGGTTTCCGCCGGTCCCCACACCTAATAAACGCATTGAATCAACACGCGAAGCTCTGCCGGACAACCCCGCGCGAGAGCTGAAGCAGCTTACCTACACAGTGAATGAGTTTATGCCGCCACGAGTCCAGCTCCTGCCGAAAGCCGCGCCTCTCGATCGTGCATTGCTGCCTTCTGCACAGACTCGCCATTTTCTAGCGGCCCCTCCCGCAGGCGCGCGCCTCACACCGGGAGCTCCCGGGGCCCGCGTCATCGGCCCCCTCTCCTCTCTCCGCGGGTCTTCAGTGCTGCAGTCCCTCCCATATCCAAATCATGCTCAGCCTATAACTGAAGCCTTGCGTATTTCGCTCCAAAGAATTTAAGAGCCTAGCTGTCTTAAATAATTTTGGATTTGATTAAATTAAACTAGTAATAATAGTGTTTATGATAATTGTCGTGTACTGTATTATGATGATAATATATAGGACTATAAAAATGCATTCGAAATATTTTAATAATACACTCATTTTGATCATTTTTATTTGTGTCCCATTACAGAAATAGCCTATTACAAAATGCACTGAATTAAGCCACGTTCACACCAAGAATGATAAATATGTGACCCAGGACCACAAAAACAGTCATAAGGGTCAGTTTTTTTTTAATTGAGATTTATGCATCACCTGAAAGCGGAATAAATAAGCTTTCCATTGATGTATGGTTTGTTAGGATAGGACAATATTTGGCCGAGACACAACTATTTGAAAATCTGGAATCTGAGGGTGCAAAAAAAAAAAAATAATAATAAAAATAAAAAGGTTGAGAAAATCGCCTTTAAATCCAAATTAAGTCCTTATAGCAATGAATATAATCAACAACAAAAAAAATAATAGTCAATTTGCTTACTTTCTGCTTTGGTCGTGCTATAAACCAGGACTTCTGTTCCCTCACAATACCGCTGACAGTATAAAAGTTACAGTACGGTTGACGGTAAGCTTTTTGTTAAGTGGAAATGGAGTGACTGACAGCTTTTATTGTACTGGCAGCGGTGCTGCAGGTTTCCTTGTGTGATTTCAATGAGTTACTGCGGTGGCAATTGAGGCAATTGTTATGTAGGATGGCATAGGAAAAGAAAGGCAAATGAATAAAATATAAATGGATTATAAGTTCCTCGCTACCTGAGAATAGTCAACTGCCTTTTTCTTCCAAACGGTATGTCAGTATAAAAGATCATGTAATCGTCTGCATGCCTTTTCCTTTTTTTGTGTGGAGAATGTGATGATTAGCGGGATGTCCAAGTTGTTCTTTTCCATACAACACAAGAAGCCAGAATAAGGGATATCAAACTATAAAAATACAGTAAAAGGAAGAATGTGTGAAACAAACACTTTTCAAATCTAAAGGAAGCCTTATACAGTATATTCGGCTCTAAGAGACTCTATTCAGATGTGTTTTCTGAGGGTGTTCATTGATGTGTCCATAGAGAGGCACAAGCAAGGCCGTAGCTAGTGGGGTAAAAGGTGGGAATGTTTCTAGGGACCCAAAGGTGTACATCTATTTCATAAAAAAAAAGAATAATAATCTACAAATGCAAGTAGCCTTAAAGGGATCATGACATGGATTTTTTTTTTTATTATTTTAATATGCTCCTTCAGGTTTACTTATAATATTAATAAAGTTTTTTGCAAAAAAAAGAAAATGTGGGAAAATTATAATTTTTAACCCTCATTCTGACCCTCTGTCTAAAACAATGTGTTTTAAGGGGCGTGTCCTTTAAGGCTTGCCAGAAATCGTCCACTGTTATGATTGGCTAACGTCATTGCATAGAAAACGGTATCTACACCCCCTCACTATTGCATTTGAGTGTTTTTACAACATGATCAAAATAAAACGTTAATTTCCAGACAAAGCATTATGAAATCATTTACTTGCGTTGTGTGATGCAGCTGCAGTCAGATCTAGTACCGCTTCATCTTTCAACAAATGTTTCTTTGTGAACTCTCCATAACACCGTGCCTCTTTTACAAAACAAAACGCTCAGATCTTCTGACACGATCCGGGATGCTATTAAATATAACCTATCCACTTGTTCCTTACGCTGGGATCCTTCTGATATCTGTACAAAGACGCGAACGAGCTGTTTAAACGAAATACGTCAAAACGAACGTCCTTTCACTCCATTTGTCCTATTGACGACAGACTCAAACATGTGGACTGAGTCAGAAAGTGAACATGCATCTGTATACTGTATCCAGACAAGATAGCGGCAGTGATTGTCATTTCTATTTGCTTTTATCGCGACGCGACATTCACGTTCAGCGTGATAAGCGACTGAACGCCAGTGGGTGGGGCCTATGGTGAGGAGATGACTATTCATTGCTCTGGAGGCGGTGTTTATGCAAATGTTTGTGCCCAAGCCCAGGTTACGTCACTTTGCTCCTCAGATCCAAGCAAGCCGTTTTTGGAGCTTGATTAAATACATGCTTTGTTTATAATGATGAGGACATTTTAAGCTATGAAACTTGCAGAATGTTTTAATGGTACAAAGACCTCTTAAATGCCAAAAGAACAGGGCGAATTTGATTTCTCATGTCATGACTTTAATATTTCGATATGTACACTGTAAAAAAAATTCCGTAAAATTTACGGTCAAAAACCGGCAGCTGTGGTTGCCGGAATTTTACCGTAAAAAAATATGGTAGCAACGTTTTAGGTTTTACGGTTTTAACTGAAATTTACAGTTAAATACCGTAATTTCATTAACTGATATAATGTTAATATACCAACCTATTGAAGTACTGAAATCTGTTTTGTACCTTTGTAATACACTGATAACCACCAAATGCAGGTGGTGATGAGAAAGTCAAATGATGAAACCCTAATATACAAAACTGATAAGAAAAAACGAAGAAGAAACATAGTAATTTCAACAAAAAACAATCAAATTTGAAATGTAACGCAGGGAATTCTGGGAATGTCAATTTACGGTTATTCACTGTAAATTATACGGTCTTTTTCACTTCCAAAAATGGTATACTACCGTAAAATTAATGTCAAATACATGTAATGTCCAATACAGTTTTTCACCGTATATAGTAGGGGAATTTACCGTTAACCATTTAACAGGTTTTTACTGTAGCATTTTTACAGTATTTTACATTAAATTCACGGTCATCTTTTACAGTGCAGTCCTCTCCATACTCTCCAAAAACCTTATTTTCTAAGAAACCTATAAAAATAAATTAAAATATCTCAGATTTGAACTTGAGTAGTCTGCAAATAAGCACCAACATGCAACACATTGAAGCAAGAACAAATTAAAATGTATTCACTGAAAATGCTTCTTTGAATGAGGTACACCTACACCATTTTTTAAAATCAGTATCTCCCTTTTTGTGTTACATGGACAAAATGGTGTTAACAATAAGATCCTTTACTTTTCCCAGCATAAATGAATATTAAATGGAAATAAGACATGGGACAAAAAGAGACTAAATAGTGCTAGAAGTGAATTAAGACTTTACAATTAACTGCAGAAATGTGAAAAATGTGCATTCTCAAAGTCAGGGTCAGGATAGTAATCGGAACAAAAATATATTCAATACGTTTCGTTTTTGGAAAATGAAAGTTCTTTGTGGCATGGCGAACCATAAATTCCAAACAAAAAGTCTGCTGATACTAAACAATCATATCACAAAGCATCATCTACATCTTTACAGACAGCTAAACACACACAAACAGAGACGCTATATGTACCAGGGTACCCTCAAGGTCTTCTTTGCAGTATGGTATAAACAAAAGGCATCAGTCCCACAGGGAAAGACAAAGCAGTCACTCACAACTGATCTGAATACGCTATTTTGGTAATGATATAGTAAACTGTAACAGAAACAGTTTTGTTGCGTTTATTGTATGTACGGAACAATGCAGTAAATCGATTTGTTGTAGCACGTTCCCATAGAGACCGAACTGAGTCTGACCCGTTGATTGGTTGCGTCTTTTTTTTTTAAGGAGCGTCATTGACTGCATGACCTTTGGTGAGACATTTCTGAACATTTAACATTTAAGCCTCCAAGAAATTACTATTGAAACCCCCCGCTCAACTTGCACACAAGGCCAGCCTTTCTTAACTCTCTTGCTGCCTAATTCATTCCTTAGCCTCGTCTCATGCATACAGCTCAAAGCATTTAGGGATAATCTGATGTTCAAATACCAGTGTAGTGGGGGAGGGGCTTCACGGACAGTGTTTCTTTGGAGATTGGGAGCGCAGTATGGGTGTTAAAGGGGCCAATGCAAAAAGATTAGGCATTGATGTAATGTAAGCCGTGTACGTTTTCAGTAAACCTTGATAGATTTGTTTAGGCTACTTAGTGTTTCCTGAACTGAATTCAGTTACTGAATCTCCAGCGCCATGCGAACACAAATTATATTTCACCTGATATGAGCTTGCAGTCTGAATTCAATAAGATATGACATACAAAGATGGAGTACCACAAAATAATATAAGGAGGACAATAGGTTTCATTCATGAAAAAAAAGCAGAATTATTTTTATGTAAAAATACATAATTTTCGGACTCATTAAAGTCTTTGAATTTTCCAAAATGTGGTATGCAAATTGCATGTGTAAAACGTCCAAACGTTTAGTTATCTTTCAGGCAAACTGATGACACTGCATTTTTATAACACTATACAGTAAAAATTCAGCTTTTCTACTTCAAATGACATAATTCATAATTTTTTTTTATCTTGACTTAAAAAAAAAATTATTTGTGAAATTTACTAGCAATTTCTAAGTGAAAATGATTTCAAATTCTACACATTTTTTTCAGTGTGTGTACTATAATATGAAAGGAGTTAATTTACCCATATACAGTGGTGTGAAAAAGTGCTGGCCCCCTTCCTGATTTCTTATGTTTACTTGTGTTATCGTTGACTAATATTTAAATTTGTTTGATGATCTGAAACATTAAAGTGTGACAAACATGCAAAAAAATAAGAAATCAGGAAGGGGGCCAACACTTTTTCACACCACTGTATAGGTAATATTTAAGGTATAGAGGTTAAAATAGCAAGTATCGTTTTTAATTTTGTGCACAGATCCCACAACATTCCTGTTCGCAAGTAACATGTTAAGTGTGTAGTTAATTCAATCAAATTCATTTAATAGGGGCTATTTCTGTAGTATATATTATTCACCACAAAACTAGCTTGGTAGCACCTCAGTTATCATGGCAATGATATTGCAGAGGTTT